GCGAGGAAGCTGACATGGCAGTATCGCATGTGCGGGATGGGAGAGGAGAGGTTGCCGACAACTGTATGGGAGGCGAAGTGGGCAAACAAAAAGAGGGGTAGACAACCCACGGAATGGGTCAAGGTTGTAGAGGACGTATGGAAGGGGCTCGACATCGACGAAGATGAAACGCTGGAAACGGAGGGTCTACAGGGGTTCAAGGAGAAGATATCTGTTGCTTGTGCCGAGAGAGAAGAACAAAATCTACGGAAAGAATCCAAGGATAATGAGGGTCTCGAAGTGTACGGAATCGTGATGGAAGGAATAGGGTTCAAGGAGTACCTACATGGACCAATGGATGCAGGAACAAAGCTCAAGGTCAAATTCAGGACCGGGGACATAGGCCGTCGAGAACGTCGACGAAGACATAGGACGGTAGACGAGGAAGACGTCGAGTTCAAATGTGACTGCGGCTTCGAATGCGAAGACCGTGTTCATGTAGTCGCGGAATGTCCGTGGTACAAGAAGGAGAGGGAAGTATACGTGACTGAGCTGGGAAAAATAGATGGGACGTGCAGGGAGATGTTTGAGGCATGAAATAGAGAGGAAAGGACGGTGGCTGTACTGGGGCATAGGAGGTGGGTTGAAAAGGCGGGTAGGGATATCGTTGGGATAGGCGGACTAGGGAAGACATTTTTGAGCCATCTTTGGCAAAGTAGAAAGGAACGATTGACCATCGGTGATCGGTCCTGTGGGAACAATGCTCCGTCCTCTCGAGGACGCGTGGTCAATGGTCTAACCGCTAAGGCATGCAAAACATAAGAGTACGCCCCCCCCCCGGGGGGCAGGTTGTTTATCTTCAAAGGAGGGTGTCTACCGCGCGACGATTTGGGCAGTTGTGTTGGTTTGTCTTAGGCTGTACGCAAAGGCAACCGAAGTCACTTCTATAGCGCTAGGGCCATAGCGTAGGCGACGTGGGAACGCACTCTCTGGACCGACTTTCGAAGCTCGATTTCTCCATAGCAGCAGAAAGAGCGGCAGTTTCGAACATAGCGGCTACCGAAACCTTCACGTTTCATTGGTATGGATAATCTTCATCGTGGAGTAATCGAGCCTTGAAAATCTGTCCAGGGGTGTGTGTGGTATCGTGTGTCACGTACGTAGTCTTTCCCTCGTGTGCGGCGAGATTGTTGCCGTGCGGCGTGTCTTGCTCCCACCACAGCGGCCCAAACCGGGTACGGACGTGTACGGTCAAAGTCGGGTCGAGGTTCAGTTTCTTTATTTCATGGCCTCTATCAGCCGAGCACAGGTTGCTTAATATGATAGAATTTACTCTAGGATCCACTGCTGATCTTTGTTTCCAAGTGTTTCTAAACATTTTCTTTTTAATTATCGTGAATATTTATTAGAGCCTCTGTTTCTTTACTAAATATTTCTTTGCTGCGGCCGTGTACGTCTGTGTCCTATCTCTTCCCCCTCCATCACGGACCATCGCTCCTTGGGGGCTGACGGCAAAAGTCTGCAGGTAGCGCCCGCACTTCAGAACCTCTCTTCTTGGCCGAGGCTGGCCTGCTTAGTTCCTCCTACATGGCAAAGTATATAGGTTATAGTGTAGGGGTTCTTAGCCGTGCTCACAAATAGTGCTCAAGTTTCTATGTTTATATATTTGAGAATCAAGCTCTTAATTCACCTGCTGCCAAGTTATTAGGTGCGGGCGCTAAAACTGATTGCCATGCGCGTTCACTACACATCATTAGTAGGTAAGTAGCGAATACAAACCTTTTCCGCTCCTCCGTGTTTTGGTGCCCTCTGCCCAGGCAAATCAGCCATGGCCCCGCTATCGACCTCCACCACCACCACCACCACGGCTGAAAGCGTTGTGCTGCATGCACGTCGCTGCCGCGGCTCCGATCGTTTCTTTTCCTGTTGTGGGCAACCTTCTCCTTGGCCATGCCCTCCGCCGGCTGGACCAGCCCCTTCCGTGTTGCTGCGCACATCGCAAGCACCACAGCAGCACGGGCCAGGAGGTCAGAAACGTCAAAATCGGGTCGAGGCTCGGTTTTCTTTTTTATCGCCATTGTCGAGCACTGGTTGTTATATGCTTCTAGGGTTAATTTAGTATGAGATCCTCCACGGCCGAGCTGGGTTTCTCAACTCACTTTTCTTGTTTTCCCGTGAATATGTGAGCCTCCACGTCATACCAAAATGTTTCTTATCTAAATGCGGGCCCGTGCTGTTCTGCCACAGCCGCCGTTGCCAGCATTCGACCTTCCTCGCCGCGTCACGAACGCGGCGGAAATCAAAGGCGGAGGACGAGCAGCCGCCCACCCCCGCCTCCCGGCACGGCTATAAACCACGGCCGGCTGATGCCCTCCGCCGACCGACCAGAATTGCCGCCGCTGCCGATCCCTCCTGCTGTTGCCGGTGTACCGAGTACCACGTGATTGGATGTGCTCGCCGCCAGCTGATGCCCTCCGCCTCCCAGAGTTGCCGCCGCTGCTGCATAATTTCCCAGCTTCAAGCAGGTGCACCGAGTACGTGATAATACACGCGCTCGTTGCATCTGCCAAACGTCAAGGTGGGGACAGGGCGGCGGGAATCCTGGGAGATCGGGACCATTAGCCGGCAACAGTGGCGTGGCGGCGGAGCCGCGCGGTCACGAACATGCGGCGGCGGTGGCAGTGCTGCGCCGTGGGCAAGAAGATAGAATGGGGCTGGTCCAACCGACGAAGGAGGCGAAGGGCAGGGCTGTCCACAAGGACACTAGGAAGCGATCCCGCTGCCCCGGTAGGTAGAGGTCCCTGTTTTGTGCCGGTTGAATACTGTCGGTGCCCGGTATAGTGCCGCTGTCTTCGGCGGGCACACACTGAATTTCCAAGCCATTCTCAATATTTTTGAATAGTGCCGGTGCCCGGTGTTGTAGCGCCGATGTTTTTTTCTGGGGACATACCGGTAATATCCCAACAGGGAGGGACCTCGAAGTATCTGCACCGCGGGAGACGGGGGTAGAATAGAGGGGCCTACGCACCCGGAGGGAGTAGCAGACAGTCTGCGCTTAGGAGGACGAGGAGGCCAACCAAACAGGAGGGCTCGTTGCGAAGCTTTCGTCGTCACTGGTGCGACGGGCTTTGCACGAGAGAGCGGATGACGTTTGTTGGGCTCACAGCGATGGATGGGGACAAAGGCAGATGTATTTGTGGGCAGTATGCATACATTTGATTGATATCAAGAGGGGTCACGCGCTTAGAAGAGTATGGACTGCTGTTGTTGGCTTTCTGTGATGGTGTAGATTTTGGCAAGTTCCACTGAGTTTTGATTTCTTGGTTGTTACCGTTTGGCTGCGGAACAGGCACCTTATTTTCGCCTTTTGCTGTGCCGTTTGGTATTCGTATCGAGCAAGGTTGTCAACTTCGGCAAACCAACGGGCAAATACTTTCTAAATATTATGTTTAGGGTGTGCTTGCAATAGAGGGGCCGCCCCACCCCAGAGCGAAAGCCATATCGTCTGTGTTCCGGCAAGACAGTCGGACAGCCAGACCACGTGGACGAAGAGCGAACATCACCGCACTCACCGCGTCGTTTGATTGGTAGGGTTAGGGTTAGGGTTAGAATTTTCGATTGGTACCGAACAACCATCAGACAAAACGTGCCGCAACAGGTCAATCCTAAAAAGCTCGAGCCGTTCCTTTTTCTCGTGGGGTGTCGCAACGACAGCGCTTGGGTAGGTCATGACCTGCTTTTGGCCTCCGGCATTTTCTTGGAGGCGTCCACGGACGGTTCCGGTTCATGTTTCAAGTGTTGTTCATGTACGACGTGCAAGGCGTGGGGAACGAGTTCACCGGCACTATTCGAAGTATTGAGGATGACTTGGAATGCAGTGTGCTCGCCGAAAACACCGGCACTATACCGGGCACCGGCAATATTCAACGGCACCAAACGGGGACCTCTGCAATAGCATACAGGTGCTCGTGACTCCGATCGAACCACTCGGGATACAAACTCATGTCTTCACACAAGACAACACTTCCTTCTATTATATAATTAAATTTTTTCTTTTTTGTCGCTGCCTTGAAACCATTGTCAATCTTTTGGGCCAACCCTCTTGTAGGGAGCAGCAGACTGTCGGCCCCCACCACCGCTTTGACTGCCGCTGACCCTTCTACGAACAGAATTTGCACGTACCACATGTACGTGTTTTATTTAACCCAAGCCATAAAACGACGATCAGCTTTTCGACCACAGCCCACCTCCGTCCACTGACTCGCGTGGAAACTTCCGATAATGTGCCATCCCCACCCTACGAGAGGCAACGATGGACCGCTGTCTACATGAAAGATGCGCCCTCGCTGATTGATTGTCGACAACGGACAAGTTCCGCTGCTCTAACCTAGCGGAAACCTGAGCTCCAACAATGGCAACCCCGACCCTACAACAACACAACAGGCAACTACGGACAGCTTTACATAGATGCGCCCTCGCTTATTGACTTGTCACCAAACGGTAAGTTTCGCTGCTTTTCAACTCGCGGAAACCTGACCCCATCCTTCTCGTGCAGGCAGGCGACTCTCCCTCCACTTGTCTTCGTTGCAGGGGCACTTAAGACCCTGCGAACACACATTTTGCCTCCTTGAAATTCGCTCGCCACGCCTGCAAACATGAGTCACTCCGCCCCGGCATCGTAGGGATGCCAGGTCAACGCTCGAGCGACTACGGCATCCATTTACATGAGCGCAAGCGCCGACGTCGTGACCCTGTCTGTCTGTAGGTAGCACGCTTTGACGGGGCTGATCCCCTCCCCCCGATCCCTTCCGCCGACCGCACCATCCCTGGCCACTGCATGAGTCTACAACCCGAGCATTCCCAGCAAAGTCGCGTCGCGTTGAGTCAGTGGCCAAGCAGTCCTTCTCTGCTAAAAAAGTTCAAGCACCACCACACCGTTGGCGCTTCGAGAGGCACCGCGGTTCGCCCCCGCAGGGCCCTCCACAGTAGAGCTCCAGTCTTCTCTATGCCGCCACATCACCAATACCGCGTGAAGACACCCCCCTGGCCACGACGTACCACGTTAGCATAGACATACTAGGGAAGACATTTTTGAGCCACCTTTGGCCAAGTAGAAAGGAACGATTGGCCATCGGTGATCGGTCCTGTGGGAACAACGATGCTCCGTCCGCTCGAGGACGCGTGGTCAATGGTCTAACCGCTAAGGCATGCAAAACATAAGCGTACGCCCCCCCCCCACCCCCACCCCCCCTGGCCACGACGCCACCCCCACCTCTACAGCAGTCCACTCAGAAGACGTAATTGGATGATGATGTAAAGAATCGGTGCCCCCTGCCTGCGTGGTCTTCTTTTCCCACAACTCCCACAGCTACGACAGCTACGACTACCCCTTGCGCTTGCTGAGGCGCCACGAGTTGGGCGGGTTGAACCTGTCGTACAGGGGCTCGATCTTCTGCATCCTCTTCTGCCGCGTCATCTTGTTGGGGTCCGCGGACTTGTAGAACTGCGGGGCCAGCTCGACAAGCCACTTGGGCTCGATCGTCATGATGTTGCGCATGTATTCCTGCAGCCCGAAAAACACAAGTACAAAAAAAGAGAGGGGGTCAAACCCAACCAACAGAAGGTAGTTAATTGTCTTGGCAAAACACAACAAGGCGCCAACCTTCGTGGTGAGCAAGTAATCGTGGTACGGCACCCACTGTGGGCAACAACATACAAATACAACAGCAACACCACCACCAACAACAGGAACAGGAACACAGCAAAGCACCAACCAACCTTGGTCGTGAGCACGAGCTCGTGGTACAGCACCCACTCCGGCGACTTGTTGAACAACGCCGAGCTGGGGTGGATGTACACGGGGTTCCCCTCCACCATGGTGCGGTACCCCTCCTGCGGGTCCTTCTTCGCGGCGTGTGTGAAGTAGCCGGACACGATGGCACGCCGCACCTTGTTGTAGTTGCGCCCGGCCGTCAGGATGTCCATCTGCGCGTGTGCGTGTGCGTATGTTTTGGGATTAGCATCGACCGCGGGACATAGTCGGTTGACCATCGAAAAAACAACAATCAGTCTTGTATTCTAGCGGGACTGGTAGCGCCCGGCCGTCAGGATATCCGTCTGCGCATGCGCGGGTGCTGTGCGAGTGTTTTGGAATTTGTGTCAACCGCCCCCGCGGGTACTCGGATGGCCAACGAAACTAACGTCAGTCTTGTGCGTGTGGTTCTTAAAATAGCATCGACCGCGGTAGTCGGTTTGACCATCGAAAATACATCAGTTTTGTATTCAAGCGGGACAAGTTGCGCCCGGCCGTCAGAATGTCCGTCTGCGCGTGCGCGTGTGCGTGTGTTGTGGAATTATTTTGTGTCGCCGCCCTCCCGCGGGTTGTCGGTTGGCCAGCGACACTATGTCAAGTCTTGTGCGTGTGTCTTCGAACTAGCATCGACCGCGTTAGTCGGTTGACCAATCAAAGCACGCCAGTCTTCAATATTGGCGGGACTAGGTGCCCCGGCCGTCAGGATGACCGTCTGCGCGTGCGCGTGTACGTGTGCGTGTGCTTTTGAAAATTATTAGTGTCGACCGCCCCCGCGGGCAATCGGTTGGCCAACGAAACCAACGCCAGTCTTGTTGTGCGTGTGTACTTGAAACACAATCGACCGCGGTAGTCGTTGACCAACAAAAATACGGCAGTCTTGTACTCTAGCGGGGTTAGTTGCGCCCGGCCGTCAGTATGCCTTTCTGCGCTTGGCGTGTTTCTATTTATGAGCATCGATTGCGCGTGATTTGGGGGGGGGGG